CACATTAATATTTTACAAAAAAAAAATTTACAAAGAAAAAGTAAAAAGGAAGAACTCAATATTTTCTAATTTCTATTGAATTTTTTTTGAATTAGAGAAGCTAATTAAAAGCAATTGGCTTTTTTTTACATATGGTGTTTTAAGACTTTTGGAGACTTTGAAATGATTAAATGGCTTATGTGTAAAAAATTTTTTACTTAAATATATTTCAAATTCTTATATTCACTATTATTCCGAAATAAATCTACTTTCATTAATGACGTACCTATAAAAAATACATGCTTATAAAGAAGCACAATGCCAAAATTTAAATGAAAATCTGCTTAGCATAGTTTGGCAATCTGACCTAAAACATTTCCAGCCGCTCACCACTTTTCGCAGTATTCAAATGCCATTCTAATCTTGTAACATATATTTCTATTAACACCCGCCGTCCCTCCTCCTTCTCCGACATGTTTTCATCATTCATCATATTCCCGCCTAATAGAAGATTACTCATAGTATTAAGTATTCTACTAAAGCTGCCTTGAATAGAGTCATTCCTTATTATCCAAGTACATATGTATTACGTTTACGGTAAATCCACCCTTAAAGAATTAGTTGAAATTTTAAGAAAGAAAATAAAAGTTGTATTTTTTTTTTTTTGTGGTTAAATTGAATTAAATAAAATAATAATGAACAGCAATGAATAATAAAAATAATATTTATTTTTTTTTTTTTGTAAGAATGAAGACATACAATAATCTTATATTTCTTTTATCATCATAATTTTATGAACAGAGTGTATGTGTAGTGAATACACCAACGCTTAAAGGTGCGGCAAAATCTTGTTGAATATTTATAAAGGAAAAGAAAAATTCGTTTTCGGCCGCAAAGATCAATTTGTGTAAAAGATTTTAGCTTTAAATCTTAAAGTGTATAAAAGATTTGTGGTCTAAGTAACTTTTGAAATTTCAATTCAGGAGAAGAAAGTGATGGAAAATTAAACATTTACATTGGAAGAGTTTCGATATTCTGGTTCTTATAATCAAGTTACTGAAATCAGGCGAAAGAATAACAGACACATGCTGACCTAGCTTTATGTATATATTGTGTTCCTTGACACTCTGTATGAAAAATTCTGTTTACAATAAAAATATGTTATATGTAATCATATACATATATGTACATTGCATTGAGTACGTACCTACTTGATATATGTTTTCATTTTAACTACAAAATGACTGATACCAGAAATTATTTTTAATATTTTATAATATTAAAAAAAATTATTTTTCTTCATTCATTGTAGTTCTGAACATTCTGAAATCCTAGTAAAATTTTTGATAAGCATTTTATACTTTATATTTTTAATATTTTTTATTTTCTACCCTCTTATCTACCCTCCTATAATATGAATGAAATAAATTCATTATTTTTTTTTTTAAATTTTAAACTGAGCACAATAAGCTTTTATGCATAAATAATATTTTCCAGAATTTATTAAGTTGTAAAATATTAAAATTACATAAATAAAAATATTTTATTTTGACAAAATTTTAACGATTTAACCATAATTTAATAATAATAAATTTAGGTATTTTATGTTTTTCAAGAGCTAAGATATTTATGTATATATCTACATAAATATGCTATTATTGGCAATAGTATGATCTAGACAAAAACCTCATTCAAATTATAATGAAAATGTAAGAAAATTTCAAGTACATACATGCATACGTTACACATAGGTTAGTATTAATTTATTAGATAAAACATATATATATTGATATATATATATACATATATATCAATAAAATTTAAATTATTTCATAAATTATAGCAAAAATTCTAATATAAAACTTTTTAAGCATAGGATCTTTCTATGGATCAGCGAAGCGAATGAAATTTTTGCCAAATATGAATTTTTGGTATTATAATTAGCGAATTCGCCTAAATTTTAAGCGAATTAGATGTCAAATCTATGTCGAATGAAAATTCTGTGTGACAAGCTTGGCGAATGAAACCAAAAATCAAAATAATAGATAAGTGTTTTTTTTTTATTGGATATTATACATAGCATTTATAATGATATAATGGAAAAATCTAAAAATTTGATTGTTTAAAATTTAAGTGTGAAAAAAACGAACCAAAAACAATTCGAATATTTAAATAAATTAATGGACAACAATCCCGTATAATTGCTGAAGGGATAGGAAAATTCCATTACTGTTTTTGCAAAAAACCAAATACAATGTACATATGTGTTGTGTTAAACCTTATTATTTTCGGTAGGTTTTCTGATGTCTTGCGGTACCAAGATTTTGATTCTGGCGAATGAAATAATTCGCCGATCATAATTTAATATATCATTCGATTCGCCTAATACATTCGATTCGCCTAGCTATTCGCTTCGCCAATCATAATAAGGGTAATAATCAACTTACCACTGAATTATTACTGATTTGCTAGTAATAATTAAAGTTAATGTTACAATGAATTCCGAAAGTACCTATTTGTTTAGGAAGCTAAAAATACCGTTCCCTTTATATCATAACAATATTGTTTGCCATATTTTAATAAAATATCTCGTTTTCCTATATTTACCTAAATTTATTGTTATGTGTAATCACACAAGTTATTCACAAGTTCTCGCATTTTTTTTTATCTTTGCTTATTGAAATTTGTATATGTATAATAGCAATTGACTTGTCTCTCCAACAATGTAAAAAACGATATTAGAGTCCAAACATTTTAAAGAAGAAAAAGCATTGTGATAAAAATAATTTTATTATTAAATGCAAAAAATATGAATCATGTATCGCTTTTATTACAATATAAATATGTATGTTTGCATAAAGTAGTCAAGTGTCCCAAAACTTATTATATGTGAAATAATATTTGAACTTTATTTTACACATAAACGAATGTATATGAAATGAATATACACTTTAATGCTTAACAATGACAATATTATTAGCCGAGTGCATAAGCACTTACATTATCACCAATTAAGTACATTGAGTACACAATTGAATTAAAGAATAATGAAAGCAGACGTTGAAAACATTTTGTTATCAGTTACAGTTAAGAAATACATATATGTATGTATATTATCATACTTACCAGTACAAAGTTTTAAATGGGAGGATCTATACTTATAGTCGTTCTATATGCGTTTGTTTATTTCGTGTTTGCTTTCTGTTATGCATCTTGAATATTCAATAAAATTTATTAAATCTCTTAGAATTCTGTGTGCAAGATAATAAATATTTAACAATATTGTTTTCAATATTTGAACAACATTTACGTAAGAATTTCAAAAATATAAGGGGTATTTTCTTTTAATTTTAAATTATTATAAAAATTTTGTTTGTATAAGTATACAAAATGATTATTTGCACAAATACGAGTATTAATAATTTTTACATGACATGAATACAATTATTAATTTGTACAAAAATTACAAAAAACAGAAGAAAATTTAAAATTATAATTTTTTTAAAATTAAAAGTTAATTAAAGTACATTTATTATTTTGTTCTTAAATATAAAAAAGAGTCATGTCTGAATTATATTTGAATTTCATGAAGGAATTTTACCCAACCTTCACAAATAACATCACAATATGAAAATTCAAGATTTCAGTCACTTAACATTAATTATTGCATTTTCTATTAACCCTTAATCACTGAAATGAAAGTTGTGTTAATATTGAGCTACATATGTTTGTATGAGACAAAGAAAATTTTAAAAATTCAGAATAGTTTAATTATAATTTTTTTTAATTATTTATGTCATGTGTCATCTGTTTGTCATCTTCTACATTCAAATGTTGTCATCTTCTGCATTTTGATTATCTGAATTTGAAAAAAAAAAAATTTTAGAATATCACAAAACATTAATTTATATAATATAACAGTACATAATATAAACTAGCACCAAGTCTAATTTCTTTCAAATTTAAAATAAGATTTTAAATTTCATTTTAGGGTTTGAAGAATATGAGAACACTTAAAATTTATTTTTCTATTATAACTATACCGTTCAGGTCAAGACATTAATAAAAAATATGATTATTAAATAACATTATTATTAATTTAAAGTCTGCCGAATTTGATGGACAAATTTGAATTGCTTGTAGGCTTTTTTTTTCCATTTTTGCTTAATGAAAAAATGAAAGTTTAAGATTATATGTATATGTATGTATGTATGTACATAAATATCATCGTTCTCACGTTTTTTCTGATTCATATAGGCATTAATTTTCTAGTAGGATATCGAGCAAGAAAAGGTTGGACCGACAATATATAGACGGTTAAATGGACGACTAATTTCATATATGTATGTAATCGCAAAATATTATAAAATAATTTTTTATTTTTCATATTTTGACCGTATTTCCTTAATTCTTATCAGAATGTACTTAAATATCAATCATATAGTGCTTGACTTAAGTACAAAATTTACAGACAAATTCAATAATAAATAAATAGAGAGAGAGAGAGAGAGATAATTAAATTGTTTAAAGGCTTTAAATTCTAGTCTATATAAGTATAAAATAAAATGACTTGTAAATTACATTAATCATTGTTATCAATTAATTATAATTTTCCTATTATATACCCTTAATCTATTTATTTCATAAAATCAAACCTGAATTTCTGATAAATCCTTCCCATTTATTGAGTTCTTGTAAATTATATTTACAATATTAAAATATACGCTCTCAAAATGATAATAAAGTACACCAGCACTCAATTATATGATTGATTAAATATTGGGAAAGTATTGTGAGTGTACTTAAATATTATATAAAACGTATGTACATGTAGAAATTAACAATAACAATTTACAATTCAAATTTAATACTAATCTTATCGACAACGATAAGTCCTCTATATTAATATGTATGAATGTACATAACATTAAAATGTGCTCTCATTTTTTTTTTTTATTTCTAATTCTTTTGTATATATTGTGATTAATTTTATTCAATTTTGGCATTTGGAAAACATCGCTAGTTAATTTCAGATCTAAATTTTTTTTTTCTTGCGGTTAAAATAAAATGAGTAAATTTATTCTTCAAAAAAAAAAATAGTAATAAAAAATTGAAATATTAAACGGAAAAATAATTAATCAGAGTAAAAACGCAAAAATTTTAATTTATATATAAAAAAAAAAATTGAGTTTGAAAATTAAATAGAAAAAAACAACAATGAATCCAGAGGTGACAGGAAACTATTCAACTCCAAATGAAATTAGAGAAAAGGAATTAAAAATGACGCAGGATATAACATTGCATTTAGTTAAAAAAAAATTGGAAACATTTCAAAATAATGTAATAAAAGATGTTCAAAATAAAATGGATGATATGGTAGAAGGATTAATAAAGGAGATTCAACGTCAAGAAATCCAAACAAATGATTTTAAAAATTTTGCAACAGAACAATATGCTCAGATTTGGTCCAATAGAAAAATAATTAATCACGATAATGAAAACAACAATTCAACTACAAATACAAATAATGTTAAATATCAAGGAACAGATGTAAAAAAACCAAAATTTAAATTTCCCGAAAAGATATTTATGCCAAGGGAATCATATTTAACAGCATTATTAGAAATTAAACATATGCGTAGCATTTATAATTTCTTTTTTGTTATTTTCATTTTTGTATTTTTAAATAATGGAATGCATGATTATTTTATTGATGGTAAAATTAAATTTGGTTTTGAAACGATAATAACTGGATTTGGAAATTTACATATAGCATTTTTGGTATGGCTTGGTTTACAAATATCAACAATTGGAATATATTTTGCATTTCAAATTTGGTCTAAAATTCGAATAACATTAAGATTTAATGAATCATTAGAACGTTTATGGAATTATAGTTGTTTAGTATTTTTTATATCATTTTTACATATATTTTTTTATACGGCATGTGTATTATGTCCAAAATTAGATTTACCATTGATATCATCATGTTGTGTTCTAATGGAAGCGACACGTTTTATGATGAAAATGCATGCTTTTGTACGTACAAATGCTGTAAAACAATTTATTGGTAAAGAAAAAATTGAAATTTTAGATAAAGAAAATGAATTTAATAGAAAAAATCATGATAATATTGAATGGAAACCATTACCTTTACCACCATTCAAAAATTATTTATATTTTTTATTTGCTCCAACATTAATATATCGTGATTCGTATCCGAGAACAAAAAAAATTCGTTGGAATTTTGTTGTTGCACGGCTTTTAGAAGTTTTTGCTATAATATTTTTATTAAGTCAAATTCATGAAAGAAATATGCGTCCATTATTTATTGATTGGTGTAAAAATAATAAACCGATAACAGCTGGTACAATGGTTGCATCAGCTTTTGGTATGATGATGCCAGGTTTAATAACAATGTTAACTGGTTTTTATTGTATATTACATGCATGGATGAATATTGGTGCTGAAATAATGCGATTCGCTGATCGTATGTTTTATAGAGATTGGTGGACTTCTGGTAATTATACAGCATATTATAGACATTGGAATATTGTTGTTCATGATTATTTATATGAATATATATTCCGAGATATTTATTATTTAACAAATGGTTCAAAAAAATTAGCAACAATTGCTGTTTTTTTAACATCAGCTATTATACATGAAGTTATATTATCATTTGGTTTAAGATTCGTTTATCCAGTTATGATATTCTTTTTTATTATAATTGGTGGTATGTTAATATTATTAACAAGTAGATTATCACAAACAGCTGGAAATATAATTATTTTAGCCGGATGTGCAATGGGTAATGGAATGATGATGGCATTCTATTTTATGGAATATTATGCAAGACAAAATTGTCAAATTGGTAATAAATTTACAGATTATTTCATTCCAATTTCATTGTATTGTAATGCAAAATGTAGTTAATTTTTATTTTTATAATATGTATATTATTAAATAATAATTAAGTAATTAAAATTAAAAATTATATTTAAATAAAATTTATTTCTTATAATTTATATTAATAATTTTAATGTTATAAATAATACTTTAATATTATATTTTATTTGGTGAAAAATTTTTTTTTAAATTTTTATATTCAATTATTTGGAATTATAGAAATTTTTATATAATTTACTTACATATTAAGAAATTAGACTTTCTAGGATGAAATATTTATTGTTTAAAATTTAAAAAATTAATATTTAGATTGAAAAATAAATTTACGTAATCAGACTATATTCTGAACTTTTGATTATTATAAGAGTAAATAAATCGTTATCGCCATAGGTGTATAATAAAAATAAAAAACCTAAATAAAATCTTAAAAATTAAAATTGTTTTTTGAAAAAAAAAAAAAAATTTTTTTAATCTAATAAATATTTAAAAAATATCTATAATTTGCAAAGAATGATAAGACCGGAATTCATGGCTCTTTAAAATTTTAAGACTCTTTTACTGTGGGTTTTTTTTTTATTGAAATTTTATAACTTTTCGGCTTTATCGCTATTTTACTATAATAAAGCAAATTTACTACATTTTGTTTTAAAGTAGATTGTGCTACAATTTTAATATATATGTATATTGTTTCCCTTATTCATTTTAGGAGGTTTTCTTTTATTCAGTTCTAGAATAGTTCTAACTTGTAGTACGTTCGAAAATTCATGCTTACATACACTGAACATATAGATAGTTCAGAAATGGCTGCAATAATAAAGTGCATTCGGAAATTCAATTTGCAATAATGAAATATTAGAAATGTAGCGCAGACCTCTAGTACAAATTTTGTTGCTGTTAAAATGACATTTTGAAATTCAAAAAAAATTTTAAATTTCAAAATGTCATATTCAGATATTGAAGGGTTATTAAATTAAATTTTAATATCTGGCTAAAATTTCCTTATTTTGCCGTGAATTGGAAGGCGAGAAAAGTATTGGGACACAATTTCATAAACAATGTCATTTCTGTTATTTTCGAAAGACAGATTATTTCAGAAGTTTCAGAATTTGTGAGACTGCGTAAACAAAAAAAGGTTAGCTAAAATTTTTTCATACAGTTTTTGACGCTGCGCAACTTAGAAATTTTTTAGTTCTAATGTAGAACTTTCTGCACAGCGTGAATAATCAGAATAATTTAACTACTTTCAGAGAAAATAATTTAATTATTCTGGTAAATTATTAAAATTATTTTAATTCAAATGTTGAATTTTACTGCTATAAAGAAAATAATTCTTAAATTATTAATCTAATTTTCAGAATAATTCCTTATAGTTGAAAAATTATGAATTTTCTTCAAGCCCAGTATTTTGCCCAATATTTTAAGTCATAACAATATTTTAGCAGTCTATGTTCAGCCGAATAAAGTTAATTTTCAAAAAAATTAAAAAAAAAAAGTTAAATATTAAATATAATTATTTTTATTTATAATCATATAATATAATTAAATTCTAATTTACATACAAATTTTTTTTTGTTTTTAATTTATATATATGTACATTTTTTTGAATTTGTTAATAATTTAAAAAAATTAACAATTAAATTAGATAAATAACAAATAAAATATTTTATAAAAAAATATTTAGTCAAATTTATTAATTTATTATTTACAAATATATATTAGAATTAAATTAAAATTTATTAATTATTTATTACAGTAAACAGTTCGAAAAAAAAACAAAACAAGTTTCAATTGAATTTCAAGATAAAGTATTGCAAGACATTTACCAAACATTATTATTATTAGAGCAAACCTTATCATTTATTTCAGGACATATTGAACTCAAATTAAAATTTGGTAAATTACCAACTGATGCATTTTGGGAATGTGTATTTATTGGCATCTGTTCAGTATTTAAATTTGAATTAATTAAATTTTGTTGTTGTGGAAATTGTACATTTAATCCTGTATTGCAATTATTTTGTAAACAACCAATGACATTTGATTTTGAACTATTATGCCAACTATTATATTGATAATTATTGGTTACTGTCGCCGTTGAATTATTAATAAATGAACTATTATTATTATTGTTACTATTAGTATTACTATTATTATTATTATTATTATTATATGAATATGATGAGGATTCACAATTTTCATTTGTTGTGCCAGACGAAATTAATGGAGGAACATTTAAATAATTTGTTGATTCATATGAAATATGATGTGAATGTGGAAAATGTGATGATGGTATTGTAGATGATGTTGAATAATTTGAAATAAAATTTGATTTTTTTGTATCTTTTAGAAATGCTGTAGAATTAGATTTGTTATATGAATCATTATTGAAATCAGTTGAATGTAAAATACTTGCACCTAAATAATCAATTTCAGATGTTAAATGATTATTATTACTTGATGAATATGATGAAAAATAATTTGTATTATAATTTTGTTGATCAATTAATTCAGAAGTTTGTGTTAAAGAATTAAAACATGGATTATATAAACTGGTATTATTATCAAAGGTAGTATCACAATTTTGAGGTAAAATCTTTGAAGATTTCTCTTTTTTCGATATAAGTGATTCAGCTGAATAATTACAACTTAATGATTGATTTGATTTTGAATATATTTTTTGAGATTGATGTTGTTGTTGATTCGAATGTTGATTTACGTTTGATTCATCGAATTTAATTTGATTATGGGAATTAGTTTTTATATTTTCCTTATAGTTTACATCTTTCAATTTATTTTGGGAAACTTTTTTCTGATTATTTACAATATCATTTTTATTTTTAAGCATTTCATTTTGCTGAGAATTTATTTGATTTTGATCAATCTGCTGGTTTTGTTGCTGTTGGTTATGTGTATTATGGTAATTATTGAAAATTTTTTGACCAGTTTCATTGGAAACTGAAGAAGATGTTTGATCAACAAATTGTTTAATTGAAAAAAAATTATTGCTTGTATTTTGTTCTTTAGAAGATGATTTTTCTGATTTAATCTGCTTACCAGAGGAATTAGATAAATAATTATTAACATCATTATCAATTTGAAAATCATTAGAAGTTCCATAATTATTCTGATTGTTATAATTTTGAACAGACTGATCAAAAATTTTACTTGGAGACCATGTAACTAAATTTTCATCTATTGAAGGATAATAATTTGATTTTTTATGGAAATCATTGTTGTTATTTGAAACGTTAAAGGTATTGTTAAAATCTTGATATACTGAAGGATTACATTCTGAGGAAGATTGTGAGGAAATTGGGCCAGTTGTCATCCAATTTATTGTACTTTTTTGTAATGTTTTAATTGTTGAACTAGTTCTATTCATTTCACAGTCATAATAACTTTTATTCTGATTTGATTGTGTTCGTTTTTCAGTTTTAATTGAAGAGGATGCAATTTTATTTTTTGATTTAATAGTACTTGGTACTTTAAATTCTTGATTATTTGAATTAATTTCATTTCGTGATACTGAATTAGTTTGAATAATTGGATTCTTTGAATTTAATTGAGAATCAATAGAAAAATTGTAGTTAGATTTTTCTACATTACTATTTGTAATAGAATTATTTTTGTTTGGGGATTTTTGTAAAGAAAATTGAAAATTTGTTGGTTCTGTTGCAGGATGTTTTACAGTATTAAAACCCAAACCGAAATCAAAAGAAGATGCAGTTTGATCGTAAAAACCTGTTTTACTAGGAAAATTCTTTATTTTATCATTAATACTAGTTACTGAAGACGATGTTTTGGGTGTTGTAAGAGAAAATGAAAAATTAGTTGTAGCATAATGATTGCTTGTTGTAACATAAGAGCTTGTTGTCGGTGTAAGACTAAAAGTAAATGCATTGTAATCAGTAGTAGATAATGAAGTTTGTGAAATGGTCGGTGGTGGTGCCGCCATCCAAGGCAAATCAGTCTTTAAATTAGGATAAGAAATTAAACAAGAATTGTTATTCGTTTGATCCAAATTGTATGAATTTGATTGGGAAATTATAGGAGTCATTGAATAATTATTATAAGAATTACAGTTTTCCCCTTGAATAGGATAATAATAATTTTTTGAATTGGCATAAAGACTATGATTCGAAGAAGAATAAGTATTATTTGCAAAGCTGTTGGAGTTTGAAATTATAGGGTCCATATTTTCTTTTTGATATTTATTAGAATAAGACTCCGAGTTCATTCCTAAATTATTATTAATTGAAGAATATAGCATATTGCTTGTTGAAAATTCATGAGATTGTATAGGAAAGTTTGAACCATAAAGACATGTTGAAGGTTTATTTTTTGTTGCGGCAAAACTTTCCTTATTACCAGACCCTTCAGAAGTAACTTTAGTAGAAGGTAAATTTAAATTCTTAGTTGAATCAAAGTTTGTGAGAAATTCGTTCGATTTCGTAATAGTGTTAGTAGTTTGAGAAACTTTATGTGAATTCAAAGTAGTTAACGAAGCATTTGCAGTGTTAAACACTGAGATATTATTCGAAATTTTGTTGTTTACTTCGTTATTTTGAATTATTGGATTTTTCGAATTCACCTCCAAATTATTGGCGGTTAATTTTGTCGAAATTTCATTTGATTTCATTTTTGATTTTGATACTAATTTCTGTTTAGAATTTGATAAATTACTGTCCTCCATTGAAATTAGGTCAGCTTTAGAATTCCCGTTGCTGACAAAATTGGATTTTATAAAATTAGAATTTATATTTTCAGATGCTTTCATTGTAAAGTTTTGAGTAAGAGATGAACGGGATGAAGATATCGTCGACGTTGATGATGTGGATTTTACATTCTTGAAAGGTGGGGTTCCTACCATAGTACTAATATTTGACGAAGGTAATTCAGGGAGAGTACAATCGGATGTTTGAATTTGTGTTGCATCACATTTATTATTTGCATTGAAAGTTTTGGAACTGACCTGAGGGGAATATGTTGATGTGTTTGAATTTCCCTTACTTTTCGATTGAATAACTTCCTCATTGTGCTTTGTATCAAATAGATTTGTCACAGAATATATTATATCTTTCCCTTTACTTCCCGTTTTATCAAATGAATTTGGATGATTACTTTCAGAGATAAGAGTTTTATTCTGTTTTTCTGAAACTTTCGTTGGATAATAATATTCCGATTGTGTAATATGCGATGCGTAATTACTGGTGTAATTAAATCCAGAATACGAGCATAAAGGATTTTCAAAACCAACATAATTATTTGAAAGGTTGTTCTGAATATTCAAAGTCCATGGTGGAATATCGGCATTTGGAACTTTAACGTTATTCAAATTTGAAGATTTTTTAACAGAATCGCCAGTATAATCAATTTTAAAATCACTCGATGTGTTAGATGCAGTACTTGTTGCAGAAGCCTTTGGAAAAATATTAGAATGTGCTAAAGTATCTATTAGCTCAGGTTTGAATTTAGTTTTTTCTAAATTTGTTGTATTGTTTGAAACCTTAGTTAATGTGTCTGTAGTATGGCTAGTTGATTTCGAAATAGCTGCTTTTGTATTTTTATTATCTGCTATAATGTTTTCATTTAAATTTTCATTAACATTAGTTGTTGAATTTTTGGAAAAAGCTGGGAAGTTATTAGAAGTAGTTGGAATATAAGGTGGACAAGTTGTAAAGATACTGTCAATGGTCCTTAAATTATTTTTTGTTATATTGCACATATCCTTATTGTTATTGATAGTACTGGGAATTAAAATCTCTTTGCTTTTCTTCTCATTTTTATGTGTTGCTGATGATTGTGATCCGGTTGTTTGCGCGCTTAATAATTCTTTATTTGATAAATTTGCTTTACTTGAAGTATTAGAACAAAAAGTTTTTGAGTCAGTCTGATTTAAACAATGGTTTTGGGTTTTTGAAACTAAACTGTCAGACAAAGAAGTCAGCGTTGAAATATTATAGCTAGGCTGCAATAAAGTTGCAGAAGTTACTTTAGAATTTGAATTTGATGGCAAAATAAGATGCGAATCGATTGTATTATTTGAAATTGCAGTGTTTTTTTCATAAAAACTTGTTATACCACTTGACATTTTAGAAAATGTTGTGAACGTACTTTGTGTATTGGAATACGCCACTCCCACACTGTTAGAAGTGACTAGCGGATTACTATTAATATTAGATGAGGTCGAAGTGTTTACGATTGGGTTAGCTGAGAGGCTTGAAGCTGTATTTGATGAAACTGATTTACTGAAACTTTGGGAATTTAAATCGGGTAGCTGAGAATAAATACACGTTGAAATCGATGATTTCATTTCTGGTAATGACTGAGTAGTTGAAGTGAGGGAGAAAGTAAACGAAGGATATGAATTTAATTTATTTGAACACTGATTATTTAATTCAGTGTTTTTAATGCTTTTCGATGACGTAAGCTTTGAACATTCTGAATTTTGTTTATTATCCAAACTTTTTTGGATATTAACATGTAACACTTTATCTGCCTCAGGCACATGGGGTGATGTTTTATTTTTACAAACAGTTTTTATTTCAGTATTAGAAACAGTACATGTCACAGTTGTTATTGGCGGACTTGTATAATTCACTGCATTCGAAACGAAAGTTTTACTCGATTCTGTATTATTTGAAATAGAAGTCGTCCCTAAATTTGGATTAAATACCGGCAAAGAATCTAGATAAAACGGTTTTGTATAATTAGTATGTGATGATTCTGTAATACAATGTGTAACAGGTGTGGTAATAGAACTCCACATGTTTGGTAATGTTAAAGGTGTATACGAAAATAAATCTGATACTAAAGAATTAGTTGATGTAGGACAAGATCTATTCGGGATTTCACTACTTGACCTAGTTTTATTAATTTTATTTTCAATATTTTCTTTTAGTTCTAAATTTTCTTTAACACTTTTAGCTTCAATTTTATCTGCTAAACCTTTACAATCATTTTTACTTTCCTCTGGAACAGTGTGGGAAGCTATTGAAGGAATTGAAAAATTGAAAGGAGGTGCCTTCTCAATTTTTTTATTCTTTTGTGTATTTTCTAAAGGCAATGGAGTGCATATTGGACCTTGAGTTGATAAGTTTAAATTTGATATGGATACGGGAATATTTTTAGTGGACGATATTGGTATTGGTTCGTCAAAGTAAGGTGAAAATATTGGCGTAGGTTTTGAATTTCTGGTATATAGTAAATTTGATTCAACATTGCTTTTCACTTGTGTAGAAATACTAGTTGCAAATGTAGTAATTAGACTATTAACACTGCTTAATTTTAAAGGTTGCTCATTTTCACACGAAACTATAATTGAATTATTTTCAGACAAACTAAAATTTTTTGAATTTGCAATATCATCAACAGTTGAAAAAGCAGATTCTACTTTGTGTAAGTCAGGTTTCTTTGTTTCTTCTTTTTCATTCACATGTTTTTCACTCTTTTTATCATTATATTTTGAAATACTCGAAGTATTTGTTCTATTATTTTCAGCAAGGTTGCAAAATCCGGAGTATGATTGGTTCGGTATGGAAATTCCATCTTTGTCAATATCTGTATCATTTTTTGATGCAGAGGCAACCTTTGGAAAAGATTTTAGGAACGCTGCTGTTGGTGATACCGTTCTGATATGTGCATTGACATTTGGAAGTTTCAATTGAATTGAATCAGCGTTTTCAATGATTTTTTCATCCGATTTATCTTTTATTGATTCATTTTCATTTAATTTTTCTATAATTCCTGTTTTGTTATCAGGAGCATCGTTTTCAGTTGAAATTTGTTTATTTGACGTTGCTGAAACTCTTTCTTCATCTTCAATTAGTTTGTCACATGTTGTATTAGTTTCATTTCGTTTTTCATTTGTGTTCGTATTTGATTGTATGTTTTTATCATTTTCACATAATTTTTCAATACAGTACGCTGACAAACTTGTTACGACGTTTATTTCTTTCGTTACTTCAATTTTTTCTTGGGAAGTGTTTTCTTCTTCTTCGAAGATTTTAATTTTTTTAGCATTATTTAAAACAGTTGTGATATTTTCGGGTTTTCTTTTTTTGCGTACTTTTTTGGTTTTAATAATAGTTTTTTTTCTGATAGGTGGAATTGGAATTTTTCCATCAACACTCGGATAGTATAACTTAACAGTTGGTTGTGGCAAGATTTTAATTGTTTTTATGCCTGTTTGTGGTTTAGTATTTGCATCTGCGATAAGTTTTTTCTCATGTGAGTTTAATAGATTTTCAAATTTTATAATTGTTGGCAAATTACCTGGAGGTAGTGTAATGAATGGAACTGATATTTGTTCAGTTGACAATACAACTGAATTTTGTTGAGCTTGTAATGGACTTTTTACTAAATTTGCGACATTTTTCATAGGCGATGCTGTAGATGTTGAAATAAGAGTTTTAGGATTACAGTCATATTTTATATCAGTTGATGTGATTGATATAGGAGTTGATAAATTTACGGTAATATTTTCAGAACTTTTTAAAGTACATGAAGTTGTAACATCTATAGAATTTGCTTCCGCAAATTTAAGATCAGCATTCAAAGGAAATTTTTCGGATTCTAAAAAAAAAACGAACGTAAGATTAATTTAAAAAAAAAAAATCTTACCTTTAGAAATATCCACTAAATTTTTGTTACTTTGAATTGCGCTCGAGTCAACGTCTTGTTTTGAATTCACAAACTTCGTTTTTTTTATTATATTGTCATGTTCAGTCGCTTTATTGTTATTTATTTTTAAAATTTGATCTGTTTTTAAGAGATTATCTTCCTTGATATTCGCCCTTCTTTTGATTTTTGTGTTACAAACATTTTCATCATTCGTTTTCGTTTTGTTATTTTCATTATTTTCAATATTATTTTCAAGTTCCTTTAATTGCTCATAAATTTTTGAATTACTTCCACAGAATTTTGGCAAATTAAATGGGGGTAAAGTTATATTTGCGGCTTTTAACAATTCGGAAAGCTGAAGATTTCTTATTTGATAACGTTTAAGTACTTCCGTCAATTCTTTATGATTATCTAAAAAAAATAACATAATTTTATTAATACAAAGTTCCCAAAACAAAAAAATTAAGTACGTTTACTTAAAAGTTCAGGGTCTTTTGCAGCTATATATTTTTCTGTTCTCTGATGTAAATGTTCGATATGGGCGATTGATTTTTGAATAATCTCGATTTTAGTCCATGTTATTGATGGATCGTAATTTGGTAACAATTTTGCTAAGTTTTCAAAAGACTTATTAAGCCGATCACGTCTCTCTTTTTCCCATGCTTTATTTTTTCTGAAAGTTTAAATAAAAAATTAAGATGAAATAAAACAAATTAGTTAAATCTTTATAAATTTTGTAGGTTTTGATTTGTTTGATTTTTAATCCGTTATAGGTTTTTATTAACTATTTTGCAAGTACAAAAAAGAAATTACAAAATCCAAAAACTTAATGCAAATTGAGTAAAGAAACAAGTGTCTGCTATGTGAAAGCTTTTTATTCTCCTTTAATCTTATTTTGTTTTTTTTTTGTTTTATATTGTTACATGATTATTTCATTCTCCAAAATCCTATTGGAAATAAAATTTAATAGTAAACATATTAATAATATAATATGACAGTGCATTTTTAAAAACAATGTTTGCAAAATTAATTTCATAAAAATATACAAATTAAAGTAAATGTTTAAATAAAATATAGAAATAAAGAATTATTTCGGTTTTTTTTAATTTAACATTTCACAATATCTAATATCAATATTATTATCTAATAATGCATCCCAGTCGACTTGTTGACTAAAAACATCTTGTAACCATAATTCATAGTTAGCTTTAAAATCTTCAGTTAATTCAATTTTCTTATCCCATTCACCATATCCTAGAGAATAATCATTGCCGAATACATTATTTGAAAAATTTCCGCCATAGTAGTTGTAGCCATAAGTGCTGTTTCCTATAATACCACTACCATTATTATTACTGCCTCCATTTGTATTTATCGACATGTCATTATCATAATTATCATGAATATCACCATCACTTCCATCTCCATTATTTCCAGAATTAATATTTCCAACATTATTTCCGCTACAGTTAGTATTACTGCCATTGCTACCATTTTGTCTATTGCCAATAGAATTACTGCCATTATTTGTTTGAGCGTTACCCGTACTACCGTTGTTAGCACCCGAAATTGATGTTTGACATTTTTGCATTGCCTCAGGATATCGACGATTATTGAAACGATCAACGCATGTTCTTAAGGTACATTCTTCAGCCTGAAAGTCCCAAGGTCGAGATTCTAAATCATTGCCAAATGCCCAGTCATCATTTAATCGATGTCTTACTTTAGCATAAATAGCACTAATTGTTTTCATATTTGCTTTACGCCATTGACGACCCAAATATTTCGTTTGCATTTTAAGTAATTTTAAAACATATAACTGCATCATTGCGTGACGTACTTTCAAAGTTTTCTTTAGTATAGGTGCTGATTTAAAAACAACTAACATCATAACACGTGAATGTTTCCATTTGATCAACTTATTTAATATTCTCAGTAGATTTATGCAAGAAAACACATTTCGCCAAGAATATGGAGCAGAATCACCAATTACTAGACTATCTGAAGTTAATTCTGGCTGTTCCCCAATAACACATGATGGAAAATCCATGATTGGTATAGAATTTTTTGATCCAATATATTCCATTATATTTTGATTGAAAAATTTTAGTACTAGGGGTATACAATTTGCGAATACCAAATGTTGTGACATGAATTCAAATTGATAAATATGGTTTATTTTAAAATGTTTTAAGTATAAAAGTAAAATAGCTGAAACTGCTTTAACAATAATTTCTTTATGACGATTAACATCAATACCTAATTTGGTTGATTGTTTTACAGTCATTGGTACCTCTTTTGGTAAAACGTCTGCCATTATATTTATACTTTCAGCTTTAGATTTTGATGTTGGGGAGGCAGCCAGCAAAATTTTTAGAAGTGCGATCATATACTGAGGCAAATTCGGTAAAATCGCTTGATATAAAATTTCAGCTGGTGTCATTTGAATTTCTTCTTTTGTTGATATTGGATTTCTTGTAATTTCTTCCTCCTTTTTAATTTGAACATCAGCAAGACTTGTATACATATAACGTTTCAATGTTTTAATGCCCTCATGTATTGGTTGAGGTAAGCCAGCTAAACTTTCATGATCATCAATTAATGTATAACCAATAAATTTATTTCTAGAAATATCCAAAAATTGATCAATGTCTTTTTGACGTACCTTCGGAGCCCATGGTAGTCTTGTAATATTTCTTATTGGATAAACATTATAAGGTTGTTGATCATATCGTTGACCCGCTGGACCAGGAGCTGAAGAATTTAAGGCTGGATCGTCAAATGGTCTGTAATAGTCAGATAAATCTTCCTCTGCATCATTTGGCTGAGATTCCATATCCATTTGAAGCTGTTCCTGATCATCGAATGAACTTTGTTTCATTAAATTTTCTTGCAGTACTTCATTAGTACGAATTCTTCTGAATGCATTTCGCTTTTGATTTTGATTATCTAATATATCAGCCGCTGTTGTTGGTGGTGAACTGGCTCTCATGCATTTTGTTATTTCTAAAGTATCCTCAGTTGCTTCTGGTAAGTTATATCGAGCGCGATGCTCGTTTTTTAATCTTTTTAATACATCCATGCCCCCTAAACTGACTAAAGAAATTTTCCACAGCAATAGCAATACTTTTTTCATTGGAAAATGGGGTGCGGTTCCACTACAAAATCGTGTTATCATTCCTAATAACTTAACTGCTAGTAGTTCATCACCATAAGGATTATTGATTTCATTAATAAAATTTTCACAAGCTTCTTTATATTCTTCACCTTCATTTTCTTTTTCGGCCCGTATTGTCTCTGTTATTATGTATAAAACTGATAAAATGACACGCAAATCCATTGAATCCGCTAAAGATACAGCAACTTTTACAACTCCACCTTCAGATATTGTGTTTTCTATCTCTAAATTAAGTAATTCAACAAAAGCCGAAAATACTCCATACTCATAGAGCAGTAACACATTTTCTCTTGCAGATTTCAATTGCTCTTCATCAGATTGTACCTCGGCCCAACATCCTTGTGCTAAATACAATATGCATCGTGCTGCCTGCATACGAAACTGTCTCTTCGAAACATCTAGTTGATCCATTAGCTTCATAACAATCGATCTACGCTGTTCCACAGTCAATTTTTGCCAGCTTGGTGGTAGTTTGTATATTTCCATTTGGTCTTCAAACGCTTTAACATTAAGTTGAAATTCATTGAACTCCGTGTAGCTGTACAATTCTGCGACTTCATTTTGTGTTGTGTCCGTATCACTATATATAAAATCTAAATCAACATTGTCGGAAAGACATCCAATTTTGCAACCATTCGCATCATTCATCATGTCGTTTTCTTCCTGTTCATAGGTAATTTTTTCTTTTTACGGTTGTTGACATATGTATGCGTATATATTTCATATACTCTATAATCCTACAAATATATTTATACATGTATATATTTTAGCTTCCTCTCTGACTTCATCAAACTTTCAAAAACAAATATTTTACCTTTACGTAAAATTAATTATTTTAAAATAATTTCAAGTATCTTTAACACATACTATTTAAATATCTCTTGGTTTATTTTTTTATGCAATTTATGTTTTATTGAAATTTTTCTTTGATTTTCTTATATGTAAAAATTGTGTCTGTATACAGAAAAGCGAGAAATTGATTTAAAAATGTCACTTTTATACTTCAATACTTTTTGACGTTTTTAAATGTGATTGCTATTTCCGAACGCGATTTAGTCAACACTTCGCATCGCGTTTACTTTCAATTGTTAATAAGGAATATTTCGCATTAGTTCAAAATAATCATAATCAGAATTATGCCGAAAAATATTTAAAATATTTTTTAGACATTTTTCAAAAATAAACGTTTGATAAACTTATATAATTAAAACTACAAAATCATAATAATATGCTATTTTTATCTTTTAAATAAAATCTAAAATTCAAAAATGATTTATTGAATTGATGAAAAATCGGAAATTTATTTAATATTTAAACATTATTTCTAAATAAGAATGGTTGTTAGAATCTTGTAAAAGAATAGTTGACGCACTCTGATTTTTACTTATTTGAAACTTAAGTCCGAAGTATTATCACAATATCATAAGTTTGATTTAGCAAATTTTGAATTATATAAAATTTACAATAACTTTAAACCGTATACTAAATAGTGTTTGAAAAAATATTTTGTAAATGAAACAATTAATACACAATCGATTTGTCAGATAAACTCTTTAGATCAAATTCAAATTAATTCGCGTATGGTTTTACTGTATTCCCGTGTCATGTTACTTGCGAGTTAATGTCAAGCTCGTAGCTATTTACATTTTTTACTTATCAAATGCCATTCAAAAAATAATTTTAGAACATAATACAATTTACGCTTTTTTATGTTTATATATGCACTTAGCTATACTCTTTATTATTTTCATATAATCAACGTAGTTCCAATAACAATCTTCATAGTACTTTGAAAATGAATATTTATCAAAACTATTCATGAATACAATTTTTCAATATACATATGTATATATTCCGTATTATCTCATCTCAACTAACAAACTTGAGCACAAAAAAGTTTTGCTAAATTCACAAATAGAGATCCGGTATTAAAAAAATTCAAGTTCCTATTAGTAAATATTTACTATTTCTCTTTAATTCGTAGAATGTTAAATACATTTGCTACTTGAACTGATAATTTCATATAATTTTGACTCGAATGTTCATGTCTGATTATTTAGTTATGATAACTTTTAGACTTTTGTTAAAATCAAATATTACGGAATGTTTAAACAATTTCTTAAGCACTTTATTTACTTACTCTGAAGGCTTTTTAGTCATCGCACCATTTAAACTACAACTAATTCTATAAATCTGTATTTAATCTTCATTTTATTTTATTTTTCAAAAGTAAAAATAAGAGTAATCATTTTATGATGTGATGTTTTGTTTACAATTTAAAAACTAAATTAACTTGTCAAAACTATCATTCTTTGTTTGACGTTTGTTTCTTTCTTAAGGATGATATGGTAATGTACAATAAGTTTGCAGACACCTCACATTCAATATTGTGAATTATGCAGTTAAATGAGCCATTTATTTCAAAAAATTTTCCAGATATTTGAAAATACTTTCAAACATAATATCTAACGAGTCATACCACATACTTTTCTTGACTTTTCAAAAATTGTGAATGAATAAAAATTTAAAGAGAAGAAGGTTGTTAAAAATTGTGAATTAAATATTTTTATAAAGAAAATTTTTTTAAACTGTAAACTTATGAATTTTTTTTGAAAACTATAAACTGAAAATTTGGAAAACTACAAATTTTAAAAATTTACCAATTTGGGCACAATTCGTTTATATTATATATATTCATATATAATGTTTGTATGTGCATATATAATGTTTGTACAAATAAGTACGCATTTTGGGCATTTATTAAGGACGGATTAGTCCAAATGTATTTATGTACATATCCGTTTATCAAATCTGAGAAAATGGATTACTTCTGGTCACAAATGATGATAAATTGGAATCTACATTTTGCAAAGTCACAGGATGCTTTGATGCACTAGACTTACATATGTACATATGTATAGATATATTTTTAGAATTGTGGCAGTGGCATTCGATCGAAAATTAACGGTTTGCAAAGAGTCCAACTATTTGAATACATACTTTGGTTTTTCTAAGTGAAATTGTGCATTTTTTGGAGCCGCGCTTCCTGTTCATAGGTAATTTTTTCTTTTTACGGTTGTACTAGATGTAAACGAATCACATAAATATATAAGCAAAATATATATTACGTAGTATACACAGGTAATATACAATTAAATTATATAATCAATTTATGTGTGTATATTAAAACAGGGGCCAGTAACCTTTTTGCGCGTGGGTCGAAATTAACCATAATGTGGATATTAATAATAAGTTTGGATTATTGATGTCGATATATGAGAGGTTTGGATATTTTAACATTAAAACAGTCTTCATAAATAATAAAATTTATATATTTTTTAGAAAAATAATTACACAACAGAGAGGAAAAAAGGATAAAATTTGTAAAATGTGTATGCAAGTATATGTATGTATATTGTTACATAAATATTGTAATTTAAAAATTCTCATAATTAAGTTAGGTTAAAAAAATTACCTATCTGATCATTGGTGCAGTGGTTATGGCACCGGCCCTTTAACCGAAGGGTCTCGGGTTCAAACCCCGGTCAGGTCACTATAAAAAATTATATTCAATATTATATAACTTAATATGCAATACTAATAAATATTAAAAAACAAGTAATTTTCAAATATTCATAATATTCGATACTAAAAACTAAGAAAAATAAACAGTAAATATTAATAACCTCAAATAATTAATATAAATAAAACTACGGCAGGCTAGTCACCTACCTAGCTAACTCTCTATGACTATAAGAAACTAGGGCATGATAGATATCATGCACTAGCCCTATACTCCTCCTAGGAGTAAAGAAGGAAAAAAAAAAAAAAAAAAATTACCTAAACAAAAATTTTCTTGAGCACGTAATTATAAGTTTAATTTTTTTTTGGATTTTCGTGTCTATATGTTTTGTTTTATAACTTATTTTGGGACAATAAATTATGGGTCACTTCAAATTATCAAAAGGAACCACTCCATATGAAACGTAAGTTTCCATTCCATTGTACAAAACAGCGTATTTTTTTGATTTTTGTTAATAGGTATTTATCGAAAAAGCGTATAGCTCGGTTATTCCAATACTATACAGTATTGAATATCTTTATTAATTTTTGTACATTATACGATGAATTATATGCATATTTATATATACATATGTAGTTAATATATGTATGAACTTTTCGAATTTTTATAAAATAATCAATTTCATTATATTTTATACATTAATGAACAGAAAACAAAAAAAAAAAGAGCAAATAATTGAAATGCCGGCAAATTTTTAAATTCAAATTCATTTTTGCTTTTCATATTTAAAAATTCCACATTAAAAGAATTATGGAATTTCCGCCCATTTTGCATATTTTATCGATAAATTAACTGGACAAACTAGTTCTGATCGGCTAACCTGGTGATAGGAATATTTTTATACTTTTTGTATAATCGATTTTTGATTGAAAAAATTCGAAAAATATAAAAATTTGTTAATTAGATTGTGTTTATTCTTCTTTTTTTTTCTCATTCATTAGTTTTGGACAATTTCTATACTGAATCATCATACAATCTTATATTATATTATATCAAATCACATAGAAGAAGTTATTTTTATTTTCTACTACTTTTTTTCGGTTTTTGTTTTCTATTTCTATTTCCATATAAAAAACAAAAAATAAAAATAAAATAAAACTACAAAAAGAAAAGAAATTTACCAAACGATTCCGCCAATCAAAATTCAGTAAAACATAACCAAAAAACAAAAAAAAAAAAATAAAACATAAGATAAAATATTAAAAAATTTTACAAGAGTATAAAACTTTTTCAAATAAATTTAAAAATTGGATAGTTTTAGATTTGGGTATCGAATATGCAAATTATATGGAGTGAAAGTCCTTAGTTTTTTCTTCTTTTACATTATTGTGAGCCCAACTAGATTGTAATGTACCAGAACTATATGTAATAAACATATGTATTTCAATTAAAAAAACGAATAGTACAGTGAATTCTCGATAAATATACTTTCTTTATTTTAATTAAATTTTTTTAAAACTAGATTTTTTATCATTTTTTTTAGTAAAGTTTTTAAATTCGTTATATTGCACATAACATATATGTATATACATGAATTATACCATAGAGATACCATTTCTAATATTTCTAATAAGTAAGATATTTAAAAAAAAATATTTGAACAAGATTACCTAAAAAAATAACTATGTGGCTTCATTTATTGTGAATTTTGTACAAAAATTGATTCTTGGTAAACCTTTTCTCTCATCTCTAAACAGTATGGCTTTTTAAAGTTCTCTGATAATGCAGAATAATAGCGATTTTTTTCTTTCATATAATGGAACAGTACAAATACAAACACTTCAATGAATAAGTGAGCCTAATTTTTGCAAATTAATATCACTCAAAATAAGAAGGAAAATTCTAATTTTCGGCTTCTAATATTTCTGAAATTGTAAGTTTTTTCAAATATCTATGAAAAAAAAAACTAACATGTCTCCTTATCTCTCTTTTTTATTATTTATTTTAACTCATAATGAACCAATGAATTCGACTATTATATTAGTTAATTTTTATTCTTCATCCGAAAAGTATGCAATAATTTTGCTATAATAATGAGAATAGTTTAAGTAGAAAATTTATTTTTTATTTAAACTTATATTTTTTTTTTGTTTCACTTGTTCAAGGAAAATATGCTGCTTCAAAAGCCATTAATTTGCTTCAAATCTATTTCAATTTTATCTTCGACTATTCTATTTTTTCAGCCCCACAATAAATTGCAATAAATCAATCATGGAATTTTAATAAACGCAACTCTTCTGCAATATTTTAATTTGAATGTATTAAAAAAAATTTTGGTTTTGGATACGCTAAAATGAAAATCTTTCTTTCATTTTACAATATTGTAATTGTTTTAGGAAATGAATGCCAACAACAATATTATTCAAGCAGTTCCTTGGTTTTTAAATACCTATAAGATGTGTAAATAAAAACAAAATTGGCTTCTTTAAATAACTCTACAAAGAAATAAAGAAAAAAAAATTTTCTCTAGAATTTGAAAATTAGAATAATGTTAGACCTTTTTCAAATTTTTTATATATATATTTTTTTTTTATTTTAGCACTATGTTTGAAGCTAAATGCATTCTTTATTGTCATTTGCATCTATATGGATAAAATGTATTTAATAGTATATGTTTGTTGTTGTTCTTTTTCTTTTTTTTTATTTGATTTTATCGTATATATTGTGTGCATTCTTTAAAATCATTTTGTACCTTTTTGTGCGCCTTGTATCTATTATAAGTATTTTTTTTTTCTTGTTTAAATTTTATTTTGAAAAGTTTTTCTTTTTTCAGGAAATTTTATGGTCTTAATTTTTTGATTGAATTGTTTTTTAAGTGAGAGAAAAAAAAAATAGAAATATTCCTGTGTATATTTAAAAATTTATAAAATGAGTCCATACCGTATTACATTAACAGAATCATTAATTTAGTATAAGTATATTTTTTGTTTTGTTCTACCTTTTCTGGTTTGATGGAAATGAAATGTTGGATATTTTTAGCAATACGACAATAGACACTTTTATAATAAATATATACATAAAAGAAAAATAGGAATTTATAAATACAACATTATATGTATATACATAAATATGTGTTATAATATGTATAACATATTTATTCAAATACTATATATATATATATGTATATATATATATATGTATATTTAATAATATATTATGGTTTATTTAAACCGAAATGACTTTGTTTTAAAATTTTCACATTTTCTATTTTTCTTTTATTATTTATTTTTGGAACAAATTATTATATTGTATATATAATATGTATGTATATGCATATGTATATATACAATATGATATTATTATAGTATAACATTTTAGAAACGGAAAAAACTTTCAGAAAATTAAAAATTCCTTGACTAAATAGAAAAAAAAAAGTTTTTCTTTTTAATTAAAAAAAATTTTTTTTTTTCTTTCGAAATTAAATTTTCTTTTTTTCTTTTTATAATTTTATTTTTTCTTATTCTTTTGTAAATCATCTCCTTTAATATAAAATTTCAGTATAATTTATAATATATACATAGATTTGATACCCCATTGTCTTATAAAGTTATTACTTATATATTTTTTTTATTTTTAAAAATACATTTTATACATTTTGTCACTGTAATGTCCAAATGAAGCAACTCAAAATATATTATTTTTCAAAACAAATTACTTTTAATAACGTAAGTACGTACAGAGTAGTATAATA